ACAAAAAAATGAGGATCACATTTTTTAGGTCCAGTACTGCTGCAGGAACTGACACCTTCTCACGTACCTGAATGCCTCCTCTTTTTTATCCCACCCATTTCTTTCTTTAATGTCCAACCTTTTTCTTTTCCATTTTTCCACCATTTCTTTTGTATGCATTCTGTACCAGTTCTCCCCTAGCCAAAAAGCCTAACAAAAATTTGATTTTCAAACCAGAAAGCAGCAATCTGCAATGAGAAGGAATTAAAAAAGAGATTGTGCTTTTTGCCGTGATGTGCAAAGCAGGCATGAAAGAATTCTGGTTTTCTTTTTGAAGTTTTTTTTCAGTATTACCTTCATTTTTGCAACATTTCACAATGAAAGCTCAGGTTTTATGTATGCTGCCAGTTGATATAGGTATTGGGTAGATCACTGGAAAGGTAACAGGACAAAAACATCGGAAACAGCAAGGAAATGGATTTGCTGACTTAGATGAGAGGTATGTTTTCTAATTCCAAATGGTCACATCTTTTTCAAAATATTGGGATAACTAAAAGATATTTTACTGTAAAACATATAATTGGCTAAAGCTTCCACTTTAAAGTGAAAGTCTCTCCTTTCATAGGAGAGAGAGCAGAACTTCAAAGATAGTTTGAGACTTCTAACAACAGATGTTATGAGAAGGATTGTACCTTTTTTTTCATCATTTTTAAGAAGAGACAAAGTAGATTTTTTTAGAAGTAGTGTTTAGAAAGCAAACCTCAAACCTGCCCTGCTTTTTGTAAATCTTAGAACTGCAATTCAACTTTTATGCAAATAAATCATGCATCACCCATACATGAACATAATATTTACTTAGTTACTCGTAACAGTTATTTTTCTTCTCTGCTTCCTAGATTTACTCTAATCATATGTGTCCTTATTTAGGGGTAAGTCTTACGAATAGTGAATATGTTCTTTTTATTTAAATGACAATACACAGAACACATCTTTGTTTTGCATAAATATTAAATATAATGCTTCCCAGAGATCAGTTTTTCCACTGATGTGTTGTGCAAAGTTGGGCAACTGGCTTCATCTCCCTATGCTTCTGCTTCCTCTTGCCCCTTTGCCTGACTTGCAAGTTCTTCAGGGCAAGGTGTGTTTCGTATTGTGTGGTTTTAACTGTGGATATGTCAGTGTATATATTGCCTGAGATAATGATGTCCTATTATAGATTCAATGTTCTTTGCATTAATGTAATGCCAATAATGATAATATGTTGTCAAAATCATAGCATGCTAGAAAGTCAGCTGCCATGCTTACCCGCAGACTTTTATAGCCACTACGTCTTTTGTAATACCAGCAGCCAAAGATCAGTAAAATTGCCAGCACCAAAATGAAGAGTCCAATACCCAGAGCTCTGTTGGGAAAACAAAAGAAAATAATTAACACCAGAACTAGATGCGTTCTTTTGGGAGCAAGAATGATTAGAGCAAAAGTTTGTGTCAGTACCCTTTTATCACAGGAAGGCATGGAGCAGAATTTACCTCAGGAAACAGACAAAGTTATCGATAACTTCAGCCAGTCTCTGTAGATTAAGCAGTTAGCTAAATTCTCTGACAAGTTCTTATGCCTTTTAAAAATGAGAAATATATTTTTTTGAAGTGAATAATCTACCAGTGACTACTGCTTCTAAAAAAATCCCTGCCTGTAAATCCAGCAAACAGCGGTGCAATATTGGAAGAGAATGTGAAATAAATTAAATGCCACACCTGCAGAGACACAGCTCATGCTTATTTGTTAAATTTCTCTAGGCAGCAAGTATTGAGAAATGTATCCTAATTGCATCATATTGCAACAACTGCTGGTGATAGAAGGATTTTTTTGGATACATAAAACACTACACAACCTCAAAACCCGAGTAAGAAACTTTGAGTTTATGAATAAGAGCTCTATAATTCTTTAGCTCTTGTTCCGTGACATACTAGGCACAGTATGGGTGTCACTGGGTCATTTTAGGGAACATAGGTTTTGCAAACTGTGCTGTAAGACATCCTTCCCACTGCTTACCGGGAACTTTGGAGAAGTAGCACAGTTCCACTATCTGTCAGAAAGCAAGCTGACAGAGCAATGGCAAGTTTCCTAGTCACAAAAACCCTTCCTCCTGTGCTAATACCCTCCCTGTTAAGACATACAGATTTCACTCTGAATTTTTTTGTTCTTTGCCTGTTCAAGAACAGAAGAGCCTGCAAAATGCTTAAAGGAAAAAGAGGACAGGAAAAAAAATGACCACAAGTCAGGATAAACCCTTTTTAACATACTTCTATATACCTTCTATCCCGTTGCCCTGCAGTAATTATCTCCATTGGGACTGAGGAGTGGGGTATGTGACTTACCAGAGACCTTTTATATCTATTTGCTATCATTTTCACTGCCTCAGAGTCTCGTGAAGGAGTGTTTCCTTCTGACCTAAGAAACCTGAAGGAAGATGCAAGCAGATTCATGTGGCAGATCAGGCTGTCTTTTTGTCTGAACTGCCAGGGTGCTGTTTGAAGCATGAAGCCCCTCAGAGCCAAAGGGATTTTCTTTTTCACAGGTACCTGAATCTTGCAAGTTGCTCCTGCCCCTTCGAGACTGTGTGTTGGCTGGAGTTCTGTTTATCCCAAGAATACAGCTCGCGGCATTCCCTTGCTTCATGGTGCAGCCATCTTCAAAGTTACGAGATGGCTCCACTGGTTTTGTTACTGTTCTCAGCATGGTTAAAACTTGGAGACGCTACTTCTCCAAGCAACTGCTGCCTTTTCTGCATTTTGAGATTGCGTTCTGCTGTTCATGTGCACTGTAGTTTTAGCTATCCATTAGCCTGTATCCCCCACAGAATGAATGTATGTCATTTCTGGAGTTGGTGATTTTAGCTGCCTATTTGCCATCTAACTCCTTCCCTACCTATTCAGAGGCGAGTATGAAAAGCGTGTATGCAATTTCTTGCAATTCCAGTTAAAGTTGAAGCTGTGATATTAGTAATCCGTGCTTATATCTTGAATGCTCCGTCTGGTACTGGAAGGAGAGAGTCACTGTTCCTCGTGTGTCTAGAAAAACTGCTTACAATTGCAGCCACTGGAATTCACGGCAGTTAGAGGTGAGCGTGCTTAGTGTCAAGTGCTGAGACATGTCTAGCCAGCTTTCTCTTTTGGAGAACTGAACTGCTGTGGAAGGACTATGAGAGTGCCTTCCCCTTTGTTTATTCTCTCTGCCCAGGGATGAACATGGAGAAACAAGTATCTTGCAGTACATGTGTGTGTGGGACAAGTCACCAAGTTTGGGGGCCAGTAAACCAGAACCAGAAGCATATTCCACATACAGATATCCCAAGTACATTGGAAATACTTGTCTAAAGTAATAACACATCACCAGTGGAATAGTGTCTCTAGTAATCCAAGAGCCAACATTTTATTGTAAGCCAAAACTAACAGAGTATTAGATTGGATTAGTTCTGCTTAAGTGGAGTCTCACCCAGAAACAATTTACTGAGAGTCACATTTGTACGGTATTGATGTCTCCATCTGCTTTTTGATGGTATTTTACCATTTCTCTGGGGTTTTCACTTATATTATTATTTAGGGTGAGGCAATGTCCCTTTGAGGTTCTGAAGAGAGGTATGTGGATCTGGAGATAAAACTTAGTGTAAAGATCACCTTGCAACAGCCTCAAAAGAAAATTCTAAATAAGCCTCAGTAAATTTTATTATAAAGGTTAATGAGTTGTGATCATATGATTAAACTCTAGATTCTTGAATTCTGCGGTTAACCGTTTAATACATATTCTTAACCGTTGAGGGCTCTTTATTATTCTGCAATGACAAACATTAGAGACAACTACAGGATAGCTAAAATGCCCTCCACCTATATACAATAGTGACTTTTTCTGATACTATTTTGTACATTTCTTGCAATGTAAATTTTTTTCATCAGCTTACATTCTAACATAGGTTTTGCTTTATGCTTACTCTTCTGCTGCAAGATAGCTGTGTCCTTTCCCTCTGAAAAAGTTGCCATCTGGATGGTGGTTTCTTCTGGGCATTTTGTGAGCTTGGTCCTGCCCAAACCTACAGGATAGAAACAGACTGCCTCAGTGCAATAAATAATTTGTTATCTCTAAAGCATAATATTATCAACTTTTTTGTTTTAACAGGAGCATTTTAGGGAGGCAGGACAATCTGATGTCTTCAGAATCAAGTAGATCCATATACATATGCAACTGTCCCAATTTAAGGCAAAATCCAAAACTGTAACTATAGTCTGCATTTGAATAGCTCCACTGACATCAAGGTATTTGCACCTGAGTGCAACGGAGAAGAATTTGACATGGTGTCTTTAGGTACTAAGTGATGGCAGACTTCTGAAGTAAAATCTCTCAGGAATATAGAAAGAAAGGCAATTTACCTGGACAAGAAAAACTATTCAGAAGAAGAAAAACTAATGTTGTCTTTACAAGTAGTTGTTTCTTCATTTCTGTTATTCCCTGTAAACACTTAAGGGCCAGGTTTTCAATCAGCATAAACTCTCAGAGACCTGTTGATTTTCAGATAGTTATACTAATTTATATCTGCTGACAAACTATACTTAGACGTGCAGGGAATTTATATTATAATCTTAATTTCCAGTCTTAAGGGAATAATCATCCAGCTAAAAGTAGTCTGAGCAGTTAAAAATCTAATTGGTCAAATATAGTGAAGAAGAAATCCACAAGTAATCAAGATTCTGCCATTTAAACAGCACAACAGCAGATCCTACTTGATAGTATCCAGCTAATCTACCTACCTTACACAGGTAAAGTATAAAACCCAATGACTTTACTGAAGAGAATTCTAGCCAAGAAAACAAAACATTTTCAGAGTTCACTTAGAGACAGTCAAGCCTCTTCTAAGGCATAATTTTGAGTAGAAATTTTGAGCAAAATTTTGGGTAGAATAAAAAAATACAAATCTTACCTCCTTCAGACCTGTATTCTGTCTGTTAACTGTAAAGCGTGTACAGCTTTCTTTTCCTTGACTTAGTCTGTTTTTTTTCTTCTTTGATCTGTCCTCTTATGACTATCACGAGTTTAAATTCCTTTCAGTACAGCTTCTGAATGCATTAATTAGCATGAAAGAGGCAAAGAGACAACTTTTCATTTTATTCTTACAGACTGCATCCTTCCCTCCTAATAAGCAGCTCAAAAATCTGTTATTTCTCCATCTAGTACATACCCTCTGAGAAAAGGCTCAACGCCATTTTACCTCCTAGAGTGGGCAGACTACTTCTAAATTCAAACATGTCTTGATTTACAGCTGATTATTTTGTGACAGAGGGCTGGCGTAAACACAGTTTGCACATTTGTTTAACTATAGCTTTGTTTATGCACACTTTTTGCACCACTGTAACACTGTGGAAACTAGTGTCGTTGGAGCAAAACTCATAGATGGATGCTGTTAGACCGTGACACAAGTGTCTTAGTACAAGTGTCATGTACAGTTTAATTCTGTACTGGTAAGTAAATGCTGCAACTGAAAGAGAGTCTGTCTCATGAGCTGCAGAACTAACGAAGACTGGTTTCCTATGGATTTGTGTGAATGGCCTGCGCTCACGCTGCAGTAATTCCATTTACAACACCAGGCAAGAAATGGCAGTCTGTGATTAATTCAGAGGTCTGGGTACTGTGATGGGCCAGCAGCGTTAGTTACTACCAAAAAAAAAAAAAAAGAAGATATAAGAACCACATTCTGCTTGTCATTTGTCCCAATGAATCATTAATTTGGGCCTCTCTATCCTGCCACAGATTTTTTTTTAAGTTTGAAGGACTCAAACTTAAAACTTTGACATTTTCACTTATCTTTGAAGCTGTGAACCTGGCCCTAAATGTGGTTGAAAATGGCTGACAGACTCAAAAGTGAATAGGAAAGAACAGTGTGAGAGATCAACATCCATTTCCTTAGGAAATCAGATGAAAAGTCTTAACAACAATATTCTTAGCTAGTGCAAGGCTGGGAAGAGCCAGACCATTTTTCTGCTTGTATGTTTTGCCTAATTATGGTAAAAATCTGATCTTTCTTTGGATATTTTTCCATGGTGGTGCACTGTGACAGGACCAGAGGCAATGGGCACAAACTGAAACACAGGAGGCTCCTCCTGAACATCAGGAAACACTTTTTTACTGTGATGGTGACTGAGTCCTGGCACAGGTTGTCCAGAGCAGTTGTGGAGTGTCCGTCCTTGGAGATATTCAAAAGCCGTCTAGATATGGTCCTGGGCAACCAGCTCTAGGTGGCCCTGCTGGAGCAGGGGATTAGACCAGATGACCTCCAGAGGTCCCTGCCAGCCTCAGCCAGTCTGTGATTAACACCAGAAGGATCTAATTGTTTTTGCTAGACCCATTAAAGTTTGACACAACACATTTTTTGCAGAGGGAAAAATAAAGGGAGAAAGAAGGATGAACATTAGTAAGGAGCATAAACTTGCTCATTTGGCCAAATGGTTCAGTGTTTCTCTTATATTATCCCAGATAAACTCAGTGGGGGTTTCAAAGATGAGAGAGATGTAGGAAAAATTTCTGTAGATACCCATATGTGTAAAACAGTAAGTGTACACTATCACAGTCTATCAAGTTCCCAAGCAACAAGCCAGCCCTTGTGCAGTACTCTGAAAATGTCCTAGAGCTCATTATCAAATCGTGTTTTCCTGAAGAAAAGCTTCACTTCTGGGAGAGGATGATAACTGAAGGTTACTGTTTGTTCTTGTCAGAATCAAAACTGAGACATACAGAAAATCCACGTGATACCAAAACCAGTCTCTGCCCCTTCCTTGCCTCAAGCAGTGTGGGGGGCAAAATGTCAACTGATTGTATATTTTGTGTTCTGAATGAATCTCTTGTTAATAGTATAACAAGGAAGGGAAAAAAAGAACAACTTTGTCATGGATCTGTGGTGCCATCTGGTATGTAAATGCACAATGCTGCTATTGAGGAATTGGATGGATGAGAAGGTGAAACACCATGTCCTGGTTCTCATCTCAGTTTTTTAACAAAATCTTATTTCACTGAGGTGGTGCTGCTAACTCTGTCAGTGTAAAGTCACTGGAATTGACGTATGGATTCCACATGCGTTACCTTTTTAAAGATAACATGTCAGGAGGAGAAGAGCATGGAAGAGGAGGAGTGCTTAGGAGAAACCCCAAAGCAACCCAGGCCTTTTGTGATATCTAGCAACCTGTGGCAAGCCTAGGACACTCTGACAAATCTTGATGATAGGTATGAAATGAATGCTTCTAGTTCTAGTGTAACTGAAAATAACATGCTTGACCTTTTAAAAAGAATAGCAGTTGCTGACAGTGTGATTCCATCTTTCTAGGACAAGATCCTGGGATTTTTATTCATTTGGTTATTTTCCTTAATTGATAATCTTTATTTTACTCTGGCATTTGAGGCTTCCTACAGCAGACAGAGCAAAGAAACTTAAGTACATTGACACCTGATTTAGTAAAGGCTTTAGTTTTGAGTTTGATGGGAATTTCAGTGGAAAGCCTCGAGTATTGCAGTGCTAAATCTACATTAACAGTAACACAGTACAGTAAGAGTGAATAAGGAGATTATACCTCTTTCAGTTGGTGCTGGGGATCCTCATCTCTCCATGGTTTGGGGATTTACTTTGAAATAGGTATTATCTGGCTTCCAGAGCTGAACAGTTCCACTATAGGCCTGATTTGGAGCTTTTTGAAAAGAAGCCATTCCTCAAATTGCTGCTACCTCAACTGCAGGCATCTCCAGGAAGCAACATGTTGTCCTGTAGACTGCCTTGCACAGACACCATTAATATGTTGTCATCATGAAAGCCTGGTTCATGAAAATAAGTTCCTCCTCAAGTAATTTCCAAGTGAAACTGTGGTCCTTAGTGTCATACCCATCTCCCTCTGCTCCATCTCTGAACAATGTACAGTACAGAAGGAGTGGTAGTCTTAATCCTGTAGTAGTTATACCAAGAGGATGCCACAAATGAAGTGGTGCCTGTGTTCCTGCACCTTGTTTTTCCAAAGAAAAAAGATTGGATAGCTTTCTGGCAGTGTTTTTCTTTGCTGCTACTTTGTCCATGGTTGACTGGAGGTTCTGAGCCCAGGGGATTGTTCAGATTTATGGGACTTTCTCCATGAGATGCAGGATGACCAACCAGGTGAAAACCTTTTGGATGCAGTCAGGCACCACCAAGGTGAGGCAGAGTTATGACTTTCCTTGTATGTAATTTCAGGAGGCCATACCTGGATTCAAGAGAATGGTGGTGCTTTCTAAAGCCTCATAGTCCTGTTTCCACCAGTGAGTGACCAGCTGATTTGGGGTAAGAAACTCCTTGCAGGTGAGCTGCTGGTTTAGGTCTCTGAGGCCATCTCAGAAACTCTTTGTTTGAAGAAAGTGAATATAGGCAACACTGACTACATCAGCAGCAGCTTGGAACAAAACAGCCCTCTGCAAGTAATCCCTGCAGTAATAGTCCAGTGAAACTTAACTTGGAATATTGCTGCTACAGCTGAAGTAAAAGCAGTCCCAGAATGAATACAAATACTCGATCCTTTTTCTGTGCTATTAAACAGATATGTAGTCATCAGCTGACGGTGTGTCTAGGTGACTAATGCTATTCAGTGCATTTAGCAAAAAAAATAAACGACTGTTCTTTTTACCCTTCACAGGGTCACAGGATCCCCTGTTCAGGCTGGTGGGGACCTGGGGAGGTCTCCAGCCCCAGCCCCTGCCCAGAGCAGAGCCAGTTCTGGGCTCAGACCGGGCTGCTCAGGGCTTCACCCCGACAGGGCTTGAAACTCCCAAGAATGGTGACGGCCCAACCTCCCTGGGCCCCAGCTCCACCGCTGGGCTGTCCTCGTGGCTCCAGCCTGAGCCTCTTGTGTTTCAGCTTGTGCCACTGCCTCTCTCCGTCCAGCCACGCGCCACTGTGAAGAGCCTGGCTGCGTCTCCTCCATCCCTCCTGTTGGTGCCGGGGATGCTCTTGGGTGCCCCCAAAGCCGCCCCTCCTCCTGGCTGAACCAGCCCTGGTCCCGCAG